AAATTCTGACCTTCCTCTCAAGAGCCACATTCTCACTGAAACCAGCTTCCTTTGCTCAGAAACCCTGTGAGCTACAAAACCCGAACCACTTCAGACCCTCTCGACAGGGTACGATCAGGTTCCCCTCCTTAGCTCAGCTTCCCCATCCACACAAACTACTGCCAGCGCCAGTCCGATCCCTTCCCAGACCAGCAGTGTCACAGTACACCCCTTGTCAACAAAGCCGCTGTATCTACTCCTGGGTTTGGGTACTCAAGTATCATTAATTGCTAAGATCAGGTCTCCCAACAGCTCATCTCTGCCCCAAGCTACTGCCAAGGGTTTGCTCCAGCTAGTGCTGCTCCTGGGAGTTAATCAAACCACCTTTGCAGGGGGAAAATCTAACCAAACAATACAAATTCTTATTTGCCTGTGCCAGAAGCAGGCATCTGGACCCAAATACTGAAAGTATGTCTTTAAATCTTCTCCTTTTACACGGATAGTGTTTATTTACACCGCACATTTAGGAAAGAGAATCAGAAATTACAAGTAGATCCAAGCTTTGCACCCACTCTACACATTGCAAGTTTTTGTGCTGTTCTTTTAACTTACCTACTAAATATTGTCATAGTTGGGTGCAACTATGACAGCTGACACTGAATGGTACACGCTTAGAGCAGCTTTTTTGCTGTGAACGCAGGTATACGAGAGGAGGTGACCCAAAATGCCATCAATTTACACATGGTCTGTGCAGTATCTTCAGTAGCCTGCATGTGATGAAGGCTTCTGTCTTCTCCCTAGGACACTGACAAATGGTGCCTCGGGTAAGGGAGGCATTGCTTCATTCAACGTTGCTGGTGGTTGCTGTGGTGGTGTTCTTATTCAGGCAGTGACCAAGTATGACCTAATCCCTCCGGACCTTACTTTCTTCACAGGTTAAAAGAGGATAACAAAACCCCTCTGCCACACAAGGATGTTGAGGCAGCATTAGCTGGTAGAAAGCTTCGAGATCCTGGAATGAAAGGCATCAAAGGGTCTAAAATATTATTATAAATTTCTTACTGTGATGGGACACGTGCCATAAGAAATGGGGTCATAAGAAAAACAAAGGATACATTTTTTTTAATCATTATTTTACCATAACTGCTCACCACGAAACAAATTTCTAATTCTAGTTCAAAAGCAGTCAAGTAGTAAATAATTTGAAACATGTAAACTAAGGAGAACATATACTTAGAATTGGAAGATAGTTCTCTATCACAGTAGGTTAATACACTTTCCCCATGGGCTGTGTCAAACAGGGTTAAGTGGACCCAGTTTGATAAGCACCTAAACTCAGTGCAATCCCCACTCAATACAGTCCCACCAACACTGCAAATCCTGGAGGGCAGCTGGATTCTAAGACAGTATTATTTGCCTGTAAGATCAGATCCTTCCATCTCATTTTAAAATTGCAACAAAGGAAACGTCAATTTTTTCATGCTCAAGGAGTTTTCTGGGTAGAGGACTTGCTTCTACAGACACATGAACAGAAACCCTAGCAAAGAAGAGACTGAATTATTACTATACCCAGCTGAAAAAAAAACCAAACTCACTACTAGACCATGTACTCAGTCAGCACGCTTTTTTCCTGGTTTTGATAATTTGACAAGAACTACCTCTTTAAAACTCCTTTTCTTCAAATTCCAAGTCAGAATTTTATTTTCCATTCCCAAGACTTGAATTTCAAGCATGGGATGGGATAATATAATAACAAACACCACATTAAGAACATGTTTAAGAACACTTCCACCTTTAGCTTTTCTTCTGCAGTTTATTATATAAATTATGCTTTTAAACACATAGAGCACTCACATTTCAAAACAGAAAATGTTTAATTCCCCACTGAGATACCAGTGCAAAAAGTGGTTTATCTAAGTACAAATAATTTACATGTCCCCACTGACAGCCAGTGGATTAGGCTGTTTTTAACACAACTCCTAAGTCCGTAACTAATAATGATGTTACCTACACTAAATCCGAGCATGTTGTAGTCAACAGAAATATTGGACTTTGGTTGGCAACAATGAAACACTGACAGTACAAACAAGAGAAGAACAATTTGACTTCACGCAGACCTGTGAATTCACTGGGATTGGAGACACCCACCATCATTTTTCTGACCTGACTTTAGTTATAAATAAATGGATGCCAAAAGTTCTATTTGACATTCTAGTCCAATTATTAAAATACAATAAAGCTCACATGCATGCAGGTATTGTATTCCAGTGAATGCCATAGGTCATCTTTGGCACATCATGGACAGTACCTGAACACTGAATACAGAAATATTAATGAAATAATCTTGATCTGGCAAGAGGATAAATGAGAAAGTTCAAAGATCCTTCCCATCTCCAATGCCAGTAATTGTTGCTGAAAAATTTATTAAACCAAGACTAAAATACAGCAATGCCTCTCAGTTACACAATACATACTAAATCACAAGTTTAATTAAATCCAAGCAAAATAAATCTTATTCAACCCATAGATGCTAGCGTATGGGGTCACTGCAGTGAAATACAGGCCACTTTGTCAGTAGTAGTTATTTGTACCTTAGAAATCTGCATTTATTTCCCCTCAAGAACTGTTGCGATGTAAAACCAAAATGAGACACTTCATAAATAACACCTTTATTAATGAGTTTTCTTTTTCACATTCTTTAAAGTGATGTTTAATTGAAATCTGCATAGTCAAGAGTGAAAAAAAAAAAAATCATAGAAGTCAGACCCAAATGTGAATGTTGCTTTTTTAAAGTTAAGTAAGACTGGTCACAATCATAGGAATAAGCAACCTCCAGAAATAAATGACTGGGGAGATGTGGAGGGGGTGGAAATGAAAACCACCAGAAAAACTCTCATCAGTATATTTGTCTATTAATGAAGTCTTCACACAAAGACACACAACACCCATTCACATGCACAGCAGAATGTAAACTACAGAAGAAAGATACTTCCTCTACTGAATGAAGTGAAACAGAGCAAGATTATTTGTGTATTTAACTGAGTGTTGATCAGCTATTCCCACAACAGGAACCATTACAATACCCAGGTGGATAAACACAAGGTCCAGGTTTCTTCATGCCCTTATGACAACCACATTTAAACTAGCATCCTACAGTAGGAAATCTGAGTATTTCCATAATACTAAGAACTACTCTTAACACACACTTTTAAAGCAGTATCACCTCCCTTCTTTTTTAATACTTAATACTATCATCCCTTTTCCTTACTGCTAATGTTATTCACAGTTGGTTGGAAGAGCAGGTGAAGAGGACATCTCAGTGCCCACGTAATGGCTCAGCCTGTGGAAATGGTCTGCAGCAGAACACCTCCACCTCCAGCTTCATTTCCATAAGCACAGGCAACACAGTCCCAAGTCTCCTGCATCAACACCACAGTGTGACTGCAAGTAGTATTTTTAATATTTACACCACCTACTGATTTAGCTGTTGTTCTCTGCATTATAACCACCATCAGAAAAATCTAGAGGGGAAAAAAAAAAAAAAGAGGCATGTCCCCTACATAACGGCTGTAGGTACTAAAGACTCACATATTGTCCACACGCTGGTGAGAGGCCATTTCTTACCTCCAGTTTTGATTTATGCAACAGAGACACTACCTTACAGCTGAGCACTAGTTTAAATGCAGAATTCTCTTATGTTGGTCATTTGGAAAAGTTATCCGATACCGTCACTTTGAACTTCATCATGCACAAACTAGGCTTAACACTTCGCATATGATTGTGCAGTAATAAACTTCAGTTACAATTTACATTAGTTAGGTTCTGAATTATTCGTCTTATTCAGGACATGGGGAACTGATCATCAATATTCAATCATACAAGTTCAGATCTGGGCAAGGAGTAAGTCTCATTTATTTACTATGAGCCTATAGGCTTTAAATCTGAGATTCAAGCCCAGAAGGTCAAAAGAAAGTTATTTATGAAACCAAATCAGTCACAAATACATTTGCTGCCATGGATATTGGAAACGTATGGCCTAAAGTATTTTGGAGAAGACCTACAATAGTGAGTAAAAGAGATTCAGTAAAAACACTTGCAGCAGTTCACTCTTACAAGGGGGAAACAAACTACACAGCAAAACTCAAACCCATCATGATGAAATGGTGACTCCAGGGCTGAAACCCTACCTGCGTCCGACAGATTGGAGTAAAACATGCCCAGCACACAGAAACACCAACCACAGCTCCATGGCAGTGTCAGCCAGCATCAACAAGACACTGACAGACACATGTGCTTCAACACCCCTTCTTCAAAAATAACCTGCTTTCTCCTCAGGGAACTAATGCACTCAAAGATGTGGAAAACCAGTCAGAAGTCTGGAAACAAGGACTGCAGATAACCAAGTTTTACTGCAGAAATAAGCCAACTGGGCAGCCAGCAGCTGCCACACTGGCTAGGTTTCAGGGCAAAACCACAGAAAACAATCCTTCTTGTCCCAGTTCAAAACTCCGAAAATAAAATTGGCCAACTGGGTGCGAGCTGATAAATTTTCACAAGCAGCAATGGCAACATTTTTTTTTTCCCCTGGCAATTTCACAGGCAAATCTTCTGGAAGACCCCAATTCTAATTAAATTAGGAACAGAATATTTAGTGCAATGGTATTCTAAATTTCTTCAGAAAAAAAACCCTGTATTTCTTGTGTCACTTCCGGGGTTTAATTCAGGAGACTGATAGAGTAAGACCACTTTTGACATTAGTTCAAGATTTACATTGGCACAGCTGATTTACATTATTTGCACTTTTTAAAGGTGGTGGTTACAAGGGCATCAGATTAGATTTTTCTTTTACTAATGCAAAATCCTAAAATAAATGCAATTTGGTAGTCTGAAAAAACCACCTTACTCTAACATACAATGAAACTACTTTGTGGCCTTCTGTGTTTCAGGAAAATATCCCACATATTCAGATCAGCAGGCAGCCTCACTAGTTAAGACACATTAAAATGAAACATTTTCCATTGAAGTTGCCAAAAACTGGATTTAAATTTATTGCATGACGTTGCATAAGAAAGTATATTATTGAAAACCGTAAGGCATCATGCAATTATCCATCAGCTAATTATTTATTATTCCTTGAAAGATGGTTATATACTCTAAAGTTATAAAACCAGTTTCAAAAAAGTACATAAAAAAATTTAACATAAGCATTAAATATTTTTCACATGTTCGTAGTTTTTAGCTGTTAAAAAGTGCATTCAAACATACTGTACTGGAAAGTTGCTCTGACCAAAAATGGTGCCAGAGGCTTGTTAAATTAAAAGCTGCAAAAGAATGTTGCATGGGATTAGAAAGCTCACAGGTTGTGGTAAACTTACAAACTTGCTTGAAATAATTTTCAATCCTCACAATTTAGCATACGTGATATAATTAGCTAAAAATGTATATTTTTATGACTAAACAGTCAAATGAATTCAAGTTACGTACACTGAGTGATCAAATAAGGAGCAGACTTAATAGTCAGACATGGGACAGAATGTACTGATGCGATTTTGGCATTAATCAATGTACTGTGCCATCCAACGAAAGCCTTCTCCGTAGCCTTGTCTCTTTAGCACGCTGCACATAAACACTTCTAGTGGCCTTGCATTCAATTCTTTCAGCGGTATACTGCCCTGCAGAGAGACAGAAGGGTTCCAAGTTACAGTATTGTCACAAGATGACAGCTACTTCACATGGACGTTTGTTTCTATGGAATGCTATTATTTAACTTGTGTTGGATAATGGAATTTTAGAAAATAAATTAATCCAAAACTCGTACATGTTACTAAGATTAGGGTCACTTGAGAATACACTGAGCATGTTTTCATGTGCAACTACATTTGGAGAAGGTGAAGCACATGAAACCAGAGTGCAACAGCAAGCGCGTGCACAGAGAATTTGAGAGCTTATACTCAGTTTTCAGTCACAGTTCCCTGCTCTGTCTCTAATAGCTTCCCAACCAGACTAAAAAGAACGTTTGCTACCAATTGTAGGACTGACTATAGCAAGACTGCAAGTTGCTTGCTTGCCAAGATCAGCACAGCGCGATAAAGCTGTTGCTCAACTGGAGATTCACAACGGCATTCGTACTTCATAGACTATGTGCAGTGTTGTAAAAACTGGGGCAAGACAAAAAAAATAATAAAAGTCAGTAGTAACTGTTTATAGCCCATTACACCTATTCTAAAACTAACCTGTGCAATTCTTTCACGTGGAAAACAGGAAGGTAAAGGTTTGCTCCTGCTCAATCTAAACTCTGACTGGCACTGAACTTTAAGGGAAGCATCTAAGAGTAAATACTCTTAGAGGAAAAGAGGAATTACAAGACCAGGTGCCCTCCTCAGCAGAGCCACACTGTTGGTCACCTAACAGGAGCTGGGACAGAAGCCACACTGGAACGGCTTTGTCAGCTGCTGAGAGGTGTCTTTCCAAGGGCAAAGGACAACAGAGCAACTTGTTTCTAATGCCCTGTATCCAAATGTCTCCTACAAGTAGTACACTGTATTTACTTTAAATTAAGAAGAGTTGTAGTATCACAGAGATCCAGAATATCAATCTGCCTTGCTGCTACCGATGCCAGTAGGAACGTTTTTTTTCCTCACAACCTACAAACTCAGACTTCTACAATGGTGTAAACCTATTTCTAAGCTTTAGGTAAACATGTTGAGTAACAAATTGTACTAAGTCTGCACTTTAAATGAGAAAAGTCACTTACTGAAAGATTTTATCCAGTTTTCTCTTATAGTTCTCACTAGAACTATAGCCTCTGAAAACCTGCTCATCCTTTTAAAGTACTGCATAGGAAAGTTGAAGTACTAAAAGTTATCTTAAGTACAATTAAGTCTTCTCTGAAAAAATGTGGCATTAAATATGATGTAAAAAAGTTGTAGTAGAGGTGCATCTAACACTCACAACAAGAGAGACTCCACAATTCATTCATTCCATATACAGTTATTATGTACTAAGTACTTTAAAAACCATTTATTTTGTGTAGCTGGAACGAACTGGAGTCACACAAATAAGGCAAACTCACTCCCTAACAAAAAAAGACACAGCCAACAAAAACCAACCAAACAAACAAAACCCCAGAAAACCCCAAAAGACCCCAGAGCATTACCTTTCCTGTTGTCTGGCCATACAGACCAAACATCTCTCGTAACCTCTCTTCACTAATAGCTTCAGGTCTGTCAATCTTGTTACCAAGAATTAGGATAGGCACATTAGGAATAGTTTCATCTGTCATTAGTGACTACAAAGAAAAGGAGAAAGGAGGAGAGATTAATTTAGAACATAGAAGGTCAAATCACTACTACTCGTGTCCAGGTGGCAGCAGAGCTCTGTAGGATACTGGGAATTTGAGCTTATTTCTTAGAAGTTAAAGTTAAAACTTTCAAAAACTTATTTAAACTTACATCAAGTTCTTCTTTTGATTCAAGCAATCTTTCATGATCTGCACAGTCCACCAAGAACACAATGCCATTAATTGCAGGCAGATAGTTTTTCCACACCCTGCGAGCTACAGGGAAGATGTGAATTAAAAACAAAAGGAAATTATCCCAGAATTCAGAGCAATGCACATCAGTAATTAAGAAGCAACAGGGTTTTTCTGAAGTCTTAGCTTATGTTGCCAATCTTCAGGATGCAACTTATGTTTTACAAAACTTGAAATAATGGAGCAGAAGTATCATTCCCTTTCCTGTTATCACCACTCTATCCCACATGCACACTGATGTACTGAAACTTTTTGTGTTTCCCCAAGAATTATGTCAACAAAGGTAAATTTGAAGCATAAAGCTTAAAGGTAAACATAAGCAATTCAAAGCACAGAATTCTCTTCAAAATACAGATATCATCAAAAATTTATGTTCTACTGCAGCTCTTGCGAAATTGTATTGTATTTATTACAAACGGGATTTGTAATAAATGGTGGGGACAGACAACAGAGCAGTGAATGTTTTCTACTCTGTCAAAGAGCGCGTGGGAAGTCAATCTCTGCAGCATGGTTGTATTTCTGATCCAAAACAAACGGACTGTAGACAACTAACTCAATTCAGTGAACTGAGTCAATGTATTCTCTTACCTTGAGCATGTCCACCCAGATCGAAGGTAGTGAAAGTCATGCCAGCAATTGTCAGCTCTTCTGAAGCTAGAAATACACAGAATTATGTTTAATGTGAAGATTATGCATTGCATTAGAACAGCCTAACCTTCTAGATTGTAGATTTTACTTTCCGTCTTGGGTCTTTTCAGTATTTTGTTACTGAAGAAACAAATCAGAGCAACACATTTTCTCTCAAAATCAACACCACGTTTGTTTAATGGTTAATAGCATTTTGTTGTTAAAACACGTGTGAAATATCTACAGTGCTAAGAATAGCAGAGAATATTCATACATTATTTATCCCTACACATTACACAAACAACAGTTGGCTCTGGCATCTGGTTTGCCACAAAGGTGGCATTTCATGTACAATACTGTTCAAGGTTTCTCCTCTTCACATCCTTTCCCAATTTCTCACCTCCTTACTGGATTCACCAATCCACATTTTTTACCTGTGTTGAACTTTTTCTCCTGCAAGGCTACCAGGATAACAATTACACAGCAACCTCTAAGCCAAAAAAAAAATCAAAACAGTGTACAGAAATGCCAATTTTCCAGCTGCACAGAGAAGCTGCTCCTAAACACTGCAAGCCCCAATTTCCCACAGCTTCTGTAATCTAGACTCTCAGCTCCATCATTCTGATTGTTACTCACCTCTTAATTTTAAAAGATACCACATTGAACTATCCTATACACATTTTTCTGAATATTACTTGAACTATCTACAGATTGCAATCCCAGAAATTCCTTTGTTTCTTCCCAGTTACACTGTTGGTCTCATGACGTATAATCACATCCTGCTTTTCCTGCAACACTTTAAATACTTTCTAGCTATGGAACCAGCAATATTAACTTACTGGGGTGTAACGTGGGGACGTGTTGTCCCAGTCTGTCATCTTTGAGCATGTGCAGCAGCGTCGTTTTTCCAGCATTGTCCAGTCCAAGAAACACTAGTTTGCCCGACTTCTTGTACAGTCCTAGAACAAAGAAGGACCTGCTGATTAATAAGTTAAATTGGTAGGAGTTAATTTCTAGCACTAAAGATAATTTCGCTCCCAGGAGCAAAGTGTTACAGTCACAGTACAAAATACAGGCCGGCCAAGCTCCACCACACACTTTATCAATGCCCTTTATCTGTGTTCTACTCGTACAAACTAGATTCACACTTGCTCACGTGCCTGCTGCACCATGTGTACCACGTGCAGCTTACAGGACGCTTAGTGGGGGAGAGGCACACAACTGATGTAAATGTGTCACTCATGTAAATGCATTTACGTTACCTTAGGAAAACCACATCAAAACAGACTGAATTTTGCCAGTGTAGCTTACTTTGCCCCAGCAAAAGGACAGTTTTGCTCACAGGGGATGGAGAGGGGGGCATGTGGGTACAGTGCTGACAGCAGGCTCTAAAATACAGACCATCCTGAACCTGAACAGAGGGTGTTTTGTTCAGCTGCCTCCAATCATGACAAAAAACTTGTTCGAGGCAAAAAGAAAGTTCAGACCTCAATGGGTATATTACAGAGAAATTAATTTCAATGTCAATAGTCATAATTAGTATATGTATGAATTCTTTTATGTTGGTTCACACATTATTTTGATAAAAAGTAACATTCACCCATACCCCCAGCTAAATTGTACGGATACCCCCAGCTAAATTGTACGGATATCCCCTGAATGGCATCGTCAGGGCAATTCTGACACACTTGCTTTCATGTGATAATGCTTTCATACCAGGAATAAGAAATTTCATTTTTACCAATTGTCATCTTTATAAAAATCCCTTTTCCCCTTTTTTCCTCTACTTGTAAGCCCAGTAAATGCAACAGTTGCTGTGAAGGACAGGAAGGATGTGCAAAACACACACACTCTATTTTCTTAAGTTCGATGTTATCAAGGAGTGATTCTCTTAAACTGGCCCACATTACATCCTATGCCAGGATTATTTTTCACTGCTTCAAACTGATCGACATTCAAAGTAAAACATTTTAAAGACAAATTTCATTAAAAAAAAAAAATCACATTCTGTACTGAAAAACTACTGAAGTAAGAGTCTCTCAGCTTTGACTTTTTTTAAGAAGAAAATCTTCCCTTACTCCCTCTTCAGAGAGCTGTGGCTGGATACTACGCACTGCCCATCTCCTTAGGAACCACTACTGACCCCACAGCCTTCACGAGTGCTGAAGAGAGCAGAACACTTACAACAGAGGGTGGGGGGGTGGGGGGGAAATGTATGTATGTGCCAAAATTACATTTCTTTAAAAGCAAAACTGGGCTACGTTCCTAACAGAATTCTCTCTTCTTTCTGCAAAATACAGCCAAATATTGTAATGTGGGAGTTTTTAAGTCACCAGGATCTTTTACTATACAATGTTATAGTATTGTGGTACTTTGCAATATGCTGAAGAACTTTTATTTTTTTATTTTACCACCACTGTGATGATACAGAAACATTTTGTGACATACACAATTGGGTTTTACTGTTAAAGCTCAACCATCCCATCGCTGCAGTTCCTACACTTAGCTGCACATTCTCCTGCAAGCACAACCAACCCTCCCGCATCTGCAAACTACACACCAACATCCTGCGCTGTGCCTCGGGGCCACAGGCAAGCGGCTGGGAGCCATAAGCCATCCAAAGAGCGCATTGACAGCTGCCCTGGGTCTCTCTGCATGAGGAGGCTAGCGGGCAGCAGAGTGAGCCAGTAACATCAGTTTCTGGAGCCCTCATTTTTTCTTTTTATCTAATGTATTATCCTCATATGTGTTTTATTTGGTGGGATTTTACGCGATGGGGTTGCACAGGTGGCTGCTCGGACAGCCCCGTTGATGCCGCAGCACTACAGGGGCATACGTGCCTCTGCCTGGGCGACCTTTACACTGCTGGTGTTTGCTCACCTCTCCCCCTGACTTTGAGCTAATCTCTGGGATCGCATTCCAGCATGACATGTTTTGCAACTTGCAGGAATGAATATTCTTTCATATTCCTCAGCCTATTTCACTAATGAACTTCATTGCTACAGGTACTGTAGCATGTCTTCACAGTTCTTTCAAATACCACTCACTTCCCAAACTCACCTTCTCACATGCCCAAATATATATTAACTATTAAACTACAAAGTGGAGGAGAAAGTATTAATGTTTACAGAGAAAGGAGGAGTGGACAAACATTTTCATATATTAACTTATGTCACAGGAGAAACTCCAGTTCACACAGTTAAACAAAACCCCACTAAACCATAGTAAAAAAAAAAATATTTTTGCCACTCGCAGTCTGGACGTCCAGGAGCCTTTGCCCCCAAATCAGATGCCGCTGCTTTCTCTGAAACATTTCATGCTTTCTAAGCGTCTTTCATAGAAATGCAAGACAAACAAGCAGCAATACTTCAGCTATTAGCTACACCAAGACCAGAGTTTATATACATGTAAATATATATATAAAAAAAAAAAAAACAAATAAAAGAAGATTTTTTGTGCATTCTAAAAGTATACGTGTGCGGAGATGTACTTCATAAAGTGATCTTATCACCCTGCTGATAGGACAGCACAGGGAACCGTAGGGAGTTTCCCAAATGTTATAATCAGCCTTCTTCAACTGTAAACGTAAATAGGAATGAAAAGAGAAAGTGTTTCTTCTAGAATAAGAGGGACATATTGAACGTAATTCTCCTTCCTACTTCAAGCTCCAGTATCTTTCACCAGAATTAGACTTTGCATGCACGGGAATGGAAAAGCGGGCTAGCGTGCAGTAATCACTGCTTGGCTAAGTAAGAGGAGATAAGAAAGATTAGTCAACTTGGTTAAAATTTCACTGGCTAATATCTCGATAGTAGGTCAAGGGTCTAAAATTCAGCGCAAAAGTTTAAACTTTCAACTGATAAAAGGCAGGTGGCACAGCTTGCCATGATTCCTTAATCTCAAATGCTTTTTACCCACTTCAATAAAATCCTTCGAACTTGTAAATTGTGCCTTTTACCTATGTGATCTGTGATCTGCAACTTCTGTTTTTTAGTATCCTAACATTCCTTTTCCTCCCAGTTGTTTTTTTTTTTCCCCTCCTGTTTTGTACAAGCTAATATTTCATCTTGGATTGATACAGATTGGAGACTCTTCTGGCCAGGGAATACTTTCCTGAGGCTCTTCAGCAGATGCCAGTGAAGTTTCACACCGATTTCAGTGACACCAGTCACAGAATAACGCACTGCAGAACGTGAGCAAGGGCTTCAATATCCAGCACTAATTTTTTGTAGACAGTCCCTCATATTTGGATTCTCAAGCGATACCTTCATGTGCAAAAGAACTGAACTAAGATAACTGAGTTCAGTTCTTTACAGCAGAGAAAAATCAGGAGAAACTCCATAAAGTCAACTGAATTACACCAGCTTAAATGTAGTATGATTAGAAAGATCAAACCTATTATGCTCATGAAAGAAAACGTAATTTTTTCAAGCGCTTAAAGGATTAATGTAAGATTGAGTGGAGAGCACGCTCTGGAAATACTCAGTATTGATAAGTGAAACTTTTGTTTGAGTGTTACTGAATATACACCAAAACAAATATTATTATTTAACCAGCAGTTATGTTTGAAGATAACAGACATAAACAGACATTTTATACAAGAATACCGGAAAGGAAAAGCCCCAAACAATAAAAACTTACCTAAAAACTGTAATACGCTACTGAAACCACTGTAAATCCAATCAAATATGAAGGCCATATCTGAATTTTATAGTCTGAAATAAACAGAAAATATAATGCATTTAAGATCTGTCAGAACAGCATATTAAACATGGTAAGATATTTATAGGTAACAAAAGTAATTCAAAGTCCTGGGTGAAAAATAAAAAACAATTTAGTTTTTAGTAAACTGTATCGTGGACCAATTAAGTGACCCCACAACACAACATCTACCTACAAGTGTAGAAACGGAAAACAAAATCCAGACCTTGTGATTCAACAGCAAAGATCTTTTCCTCCCCTTGGAAAATGCTACGTGGACAGAAGTCTTTGCAAGAAGTAAAAATAATTTTATCTTAAGTACAGTTTGGTGGAGGTTTGTGATATTCCACTGACGATTTCAAATGGGATCTTCACATAAGCTTTTTGACTGGGAAAAAGTGGCACTTTTGAGAGGGCAATAGAGGGATGTCAGTACAGAGTCAATGCTCCAGCGGCCCTTGGGAGCTGCTGGGGTTTGAAGCAGAGGCGATAAGAGGTAAGTTTAGCGAAATTGAATCCAGAAGTTTGATACCAAATAAATTCCTATTGTCTGCACAGAAACTGTTTGGCTTGTAATGGGAAACAACTACTTAGCACAAAGCACTGGAACTGTCATTCAAAGACCGTGACCTCCTGTACTGTCCTGCACAGGCTGCCACAATTTACACCTTAAATTCAAAACTTATGTTTAAAAAAGGACTCTTGAACACCATGTTTCCCACCAAATTCCTTCAGCTTAGATTCAAGAACAGAAGGTCGAGCTGAGAGCAGCCAGGATGACTATAACCAAAACTCTAGTTGTGCCATACAACCGTCAGACAATTTCAGCCAACTGTCACACGCAGGACACCCCTCGCTAACAGGATGAAGCTCTGCTACTCCACAAAAACCCCTTCTTTGTGGTATAGTTAAAAAAAAATATAAGGCTGCTATGCTCGTCCCTGGGAAAGAAGCAAGTGGCCAGTATGGACTGCACAGACTGACAAATTCAGTTGTTCCTGCCCCAGAAAAAAAACCCCTCTGCCCCAAAAGGCAGGGCTGCTTCCAAACAAGCAGCCACGGCGGAGGTGTCGGGGGAGCCTTGGCACACCTTGAGTGCCCAGGAGGACAGGTAGCAGAGAGGAGGATCCACCGCTACTGCCAAAGCGATGCTTTGGGGTGCAAGAATAAAACCATCACTAGGTTCTGCACAGCCATGAGCAATTAATTTCTTAGCTTTCATCTTAATTTCCTCATTATCTAAAGTGTAGATAATCACACTGAAAGCACCAGTTTGACACAGTGAATCAGTACCTAGCATGAAAACCTCTTGAAAGTCTAAAGGGCAACATCCTTAGAAGCATTTAGCCAGCTAATTCCTACCGGAGCACATAACCCCTGCTAACATCAAGGGACATTGGAGTCCGACTACCCTCGAGAAACTGTTCTGCCCTGCTAAGTGCAGCTGGCAGAGGCATCCACGCTGCTGCAGGCTGTCTTGCTGCACTCATTTTGACACTGCAGCGGTACCCTGGGGGGTCAGAAGGTGACTTTAGGGCAGCTCTGACCCTGGAGCACAGGACGCAGTAGTCGAAACACAGGTCAGAACCAGATCAAAATCTAGGCATCTGTCGTAGCAATTACACTCATGGCAACGAACAGAGTTTCTCCACTATGCAAAAACAGGTATATCACAGAAAGATAATATGGAAAGTGGAGGAAAGAATATTCTAATTACATTTCCTTGCACTGGAACAAAATCTTTCCAGCCCATATTTGCCTCCGTGGTTGAAGATGACAAAGCACTAGGAGTCCTTAGTTTCTATACAACTAACCCTGAAACCCTTACCCAGGTCCTACGTTACTCTGAACAGCTGATCAGCTGCAACAGGCACAAATTTCAAGAATACTAATCAAATACGCTTGTCAATGCATAAACACCCAGTTACACGTCACGACTGAAACTGTCCCTTGCATGGCTAAAAAGCAAAGGTCAAGAATAAGCAAACACGGCAGAACATACACGTCAGCAGATTTATTTATTGCTTGAGCAAAATACCAATCGAGAAAAGCCTCTATGGGGCTTAGAAAAACGGTCGACTCAAATAACCTGCAAATCAGGGCAAACAGCGTGATGCAAGAGAAGTGCTCAGATTACTGAGGTGAGAATAACTCCACAGCATTTAGTTGTATTAACCTGTTCCATCTATAAAACTTACGGATAAAACAAACAAAAAAAATCTTTATGCATTACAGAAAAGAATTTCGGGGCAAGATTCAAATGATTAAAGTGAGAATAGGATTACTCTGCAAACACAGCTGAAGTGGCATTAATACAGGTTAAATTTCCATTGGCACAAGAAAATTGGTGTTAGAAACAGAGCTATCCAAATACACCCAGAACAGCCTCCGTATCAGCTTGCAGCGCTTAAAAGAAAGTACTTTTTAAATGGGGAAAAAATGGACAGCTAATTGTAAAGGCACACTGGTAATATTTGAATAGAGATATCAAATCTACTCTTACCACACGGGAAAAGTAACTACATAATTCACAACAGTGTCAAATCAAAGCATTAAAAAGCCGTAGTGGTATCAAGAGTTGTTACGCTGCTGAGACGTCCAAGCCACAGAGCTACACCAAGCTAAGGGGAGAGCCGAGGCTGTTCGATACACACAGACTCACTCTCAGGCCCATCTTAAAAATACCATAAAAGCAGAACAATGAAAACTCTGGCAGTGACTGTTCACAAGCCATGAGGAAGACAAAAATACCATTTTAAGGATATTTTAAGGGTTCCCTTGAAAATAATCAGTTGCAAGCAGACATAAGCTTTTAGTGAAAAATTGTACTGGACACAAGACAATCTTTTGATACCAACTATTTTTACAGACATCACCAACTTACTCGTGCCTCCTTAACAAAAACATAAAAGTTAATTTTCTAGCATCACATCAACAACAGATGGCTATCACTTCAAAATGTCTCCAACAAACCTGGCTAACGTTATTTCATCAGCAAAGTATAATTCATCACTCCCATGGAGCCCTGTAAGCCGCTCTATAGACCAAGGAGATGGGTTTGCCTCCTGGAGACCACTTCTGACCGTGGGGATGCGGAATTCCCACCCAGTGGCTTTGGTAACGTCTTGAGCCAGCCTCCTGAAGGGAACGTCGCTGACAGCAAGGACTAGCAAACAAACTCACTCACCCTTATTTCTTCTATATTCTGGAAAACAGGAAATTTCTTCCCCTACTCTTGACCTGCATTCTTCTAGCTAAAAATTCACCATTTCACTTCTGAACCAGTTAGAATAACACTTACTTCCAAAGCCTGTGAAACTTTAGATAAGAGAGGATACCAGGCTTTTAAAGTCAATTTTAAATCCCTTTATGGAATAATTAGGAAACAGAAACCAGTGACACCCAGGCTGAACAGCTCTTGCAGTAACTGGAAACACACTGTGCTGCGCCTGGGTGGGTACTGTCAGCAAGAGCTAGGGAAGAAACCTCTGTCCAGCCTACCTGCACCAACCCTGCACCCCAGCCACAGCTCAGTCTGAAAACAACTTGCAAGCGAGAGCTTAAGGTCTGCTGTTAAGGGTGCATTTGCAGGTTTTTCAAGTAGGATCTAAACACAATCACTTAAAGTTATAATTTCACATACGATCATTTTAACATCGTAAAATGTTACCACGGACAACAAAAATCAAAATCCCTAAGAAACTCAGTGAATAAACTGATATCTGCTTTCTACAGTAGTTTGTTCTATGATATGAAACTGCACTTTGATGTAGTATTTTAAAAGTTGAGGAAAGGGACAAGAGTTTGAAAATGAGGTAACGGCACAGATTTTCTTTGGATTTTTTAATCAGTTTTTTTGATACAAGTCACCTCTGAGATTTCAGAAAGAGTAATCACCATACTGGTCTATTACTAATTGGGTTGAAAACCAGAAAGATTACATATTGTACAGCAGATGACTTAAATTTAGTTATATCGCATCTTTTACTCTGAGACAGTCTATCTGAGTTTAGCAAAGATCTTAAGCACATCTGAAGCAGCAAACTTCACCTGTGAAGGCGGCACAGCCACACACGCGCTAGTTCCCAAGGGCACCCGATGCAGCGGTTCGGCTGCAGCCTGGCTCACAAAAACCAGCTGCCGGAGCACACTCTCCACGCAGGGCCTACTGCAGCAATTTACTTATAAAAAAAGGATCTTAAAAGTCGTAATTTCTGAAGAAATAATAATAGTTAGAATAAGCCTTGACAGAGGGTACAAGGTGACAGACAGCTGCAGAGCACCGGCAGGCCGCGGGGCAGCACTCACACCGCGCTCCCGACACCACCCC